AGAGTGTTATAGTATCACTATGTTTTAAATTACATAGTCTAGTTTAATTTTGTCCCAAATCAAACTTCACTAACTTTGATAAGGTCTTTACAAAACTACATTAACATATGTTATGAGTCTAAATAAATGCACTATTAAAATACAGTACATGCCCTGGAAAAATTAATGTCGTAGATGCTACTACATTCTTGTCGTATAAATTAGTCAAAACTAAAAACGTTTGATCGAGGATAATAAAATCTATATGAACCAGTATAACTTGGTGGAATATCGGTACTTTGGATATTTGCCTAAAAGGGAGTGATTAAATGTGCAGTACCACGAGACAGGGTGTGCATCCAGCAAGACTGCAACAATATCTGTCTGCACGTGCACGCGAGGCAGAGCCGCATCGATTAGTCGGTTCATTCACGTGAAAGTGACCGTGTGCCCAGGACCCAGCAAGAAGTTTCTCAGCGTACCGCACCGCTGGCAAGGGCAATCTCGCCGCCGGGCCACATGACGACCCATCGGCGACGCGGCTCACACACGGGCGGGGGGCGGGGGCGATGACGCGCGCGCGCACCTCATCCCGATCGATCGTCGCCATTCCGGTCGGGTCAGCGGGGCGACCGTTTCGCCGTCCGGCCAGCCGTCGCCGGCCTGGTCGCTGAGCTGTTGCGTTGCGTCCTATGGTGGAGATGTGAACGATCAACGCCTGGACGGCGTGTGAAACGAAAACGATCAACGCCTGGCAACACCGTAATAAAAAGGTAACAAAGCCAATAATAATCCGGCCACCACGCCTTGGTGCGATACGCATGCATGGCGCCCTCCGTTGGACTCCGGTCAAGATCGGGACGGGATGCATCATGCATGTGTGCTGAATGGTGATCAGCTGGAAGCTACTACGAATGCCTTTACTAGCGATGGCTACCGGCAACAGGCTAGGGTCATACGTAGTACATGACGCATGTGCTCAGTCGGCAGGAGATCGATGTCACGCGCTTAAATTAAACACGTGCACGTTGGGAACTTGGGATACTGGAACCTTCTTTTTTTCACAAGGAGAGATTGCTCGATTGCACCCGTGGAGTGGAGGGCGACGTTAATTAATTTGACGGTTTCTCGGTACAGAGCGGTACGAGTGCAAGAGCAGCGCTTCCGTTGAACCTTCCTCTTCCTCCCAGTTGGTCCTGGTCCTCGTCCTCGTCCTCGTCCTGGTCCTGGTCCTGGTCCTGGTCCTCCGTCCTGGAGCTGTTCGCTCCCCCTCCCCCTCCCAGGGGCCAGGGCGTCCGCCGAGAAGGCAGAAAGCAGCAGCAGAAGAGAAAGGCCTGATTGGGCCGGGGGAAACGGCCCATGTACCAGAGTCTGTCCCGTCGGTAGGTGTTGTTCACGTGCACCCGTTTCCATCAAACCCATGTGCCCGTGAGGTTCCGATTTTTATTTTATTTTATTTTATTATTAAATAAAATCTAACTAATATTTTGAAAATGACCTGTCCAAAAATCATTTGCAGATTATAATCTTTTTTCCCTGTGCTAGGCAGAACGAAGAGGGAAAATCACTATTACATCGCATCATGTGTATGGGTGTGGGCGTGTGTGGCACATGTATATCACGCAAGAGCACAGAAGAGGTCTCTACCGGCACATATTCTATGTGAAAACCGTCATGCCACTCTCGCTAGCGTGGTACCTAGCTCTATTTTGACATGCCACCCGTACTCGTGTGACAAGATTAGCATCGTCATACCGTTAGAAAAAAAACAATATCTTTTTATATGGAATCAAATGGATATGATTTTTGTATGAAAATTGTGCCTCTTAATGAGATCTATGACTTTCTAGTTTTTGATGAGTCTCTCTCTCTCTCTCTCTCTCTACTCATTAAGATGCTTACAGATTGTTACAAACTTTCAACACCATACTATCCACCACTAGGGGCTTGCTTGTCACCCTATAAATCATATATGTTTTTATACATAGTGGGAAGGAGGGGATAAAACGGTGGGTTACAATATCATTTATACAGAAATAGTTGGCGGTTGATTGAAAACTTCCCTGATTTCAAAGTGTAACTATCCTGTGGCAACTATAATACAATTCTAAAAGAAATAAAAAAAACAAATTCATATATGATAATAATCAGGGGGGAAGTTTGTATCACCTTTGTGGGAACCATATGAAAACAAGCACATAGAAATTGGACTTTTCGTTACTGTCTTCATTCGTAGATGGAGATGAAATTCCTATGAAAATTAAATCTCTCGACAAGATTTACAATTTTTTTATTTCTTTTCATTTAAAGCCACTATAATTGCTTAAATAGTTATAAACTTCTAGCAGCACATTAATATATCACATATCATCTCCAAGACTCTTCGTTGTGTTTAGCTTTTTTAGTAGAAATAAAGTATGTTTTAAATTCAAGAAAAAAATATAGAATAGGTGAAACTTGTTTAGATTCACAACAAAAATATCTAGCATCATGAAAATAAATATTACGAGAAAATATTAAAAGAAGTAATAACAAATAAAATAAAGCAAAGTAAAAAGTCAAAACATGAACGGAAAATTGAAAATATAAACTAAAAGGGACTAACGGAAAAAAAGTTTGGGCATGATAATGGGACTTTGGAAATGGAAATAATAAAGAGAGAGTGAGAAAACAATAAGTAAAAAATAATTCAATACCGAAGAAAGAAAAAATAGATAATACAGACAATGTTATCCCTTTATTGCTTCTAATTTAAACAAAGGAAACAATAGGAACAAAAGGGTGCTGAGGGGACAATTTTAAATAGAAGTAATAGAAAATAAAATCTCGAAACAGGGGGGAAATAAAAGAAGCCGTATTGACGGAGAAAATGACAAGCAGCGTCGGGATTCCGGGAGCCTTATATATTGGAACCTCACGTCATGAAGTGGGCCAGATATGAACATGGGCCGGTAAGCTAGCAGGTAGCATCGACAGAATGAATGCGGGCCGAGAATGGCAATATTTCCCGCAATTGTGCTTGTTCAGCGATTTCCTGCATCAAGCCAGTGCTGCCTCTCTTTTCAGTGATTTCCCGCATTGTGCCTGTTCAAATCTATATAACTGAAAACTTGTAATTGATGGCTTCCTTTTTAATCTTACCCCTGGTGCCGTGGTGCCTGCTTCGTCGTGCTCCAGCTGTCCGGCCAGCATCGGCTGATCGGCAGGTGGCGGCCATGTCCAAGTTCTGCCGCTGCTACAAGCAGTGCTACGCCGACTGCCGGAAGTCCGCCGGCCCCTACCCCTGTAACTTCGAGTGCATCCAGGACTGCGTAAACGGCCAGCCGCCGCCGACTGCAACAGCATCTGCCTCCTACGCATCTGCGCCGTCATGAACACCAGTGAGGCCACCCCACCGAGACGACCCGGCTTAATTACTAGTAGCTAGCATAAATGCGCAGGACTCGTCGTCATCGTCGTCCTCAACTCTGAATCTCTGATGCATTGCTGCGTTGTGTTACTGTAGCTATGGCGGTGGCAGGAGGCGTGTCTGGTTGACTGCCACGACAACATCGGACACTCCGGTCCCCCGAAAGACGCCAGCTGATATGATGGGGACTTCAGTTCAGAGTCACACAACCAGTAGCGTTTGATCAGACTGTTCATGCAATGATCGGCTGTTAACAAACAATGATCTATCTGTAATTATAAAAAATATAAGCAATGCTCCATCATTGATCATGTGGAATTGATGTTTCACATCCACTTCAACCTGATATCTACTTTTAAGAAAAATAATATACGGGCCTGTTCGCTCGGAGGAATTCTGAAGGAATTTGGATGGTTTGGAGGAATGCTGGAGGAATTTGTGAAGAAAAACACTGTTCCGGATAAAAAAAGAAGCGGATCAAGCCGAGTTTAAGGACACGCGAACGGTATGTGTGTGTGTATATATATATATATATATATATATATATATATATATATATATAATAGAAAAGGAAGGACCTGATGAACACTGTCAAGTCTCCAATGCAAGACCTTGCATGTTTTCAGCAGCTCTTAACAGAGGGACTAAGAGAGAATTGCTCGTGTCTTAACCTATGTACTCACGGATCCACGATTATCTAGGCTTTTGACATTTTGTCTGCATCATAAATATATTTACCAGCAGCTCTTAATATCAATATTTATATACTAATGATATCTATTCTTTTATTAGAACAGAGGATAAATATATTATGTAATCTCTATTTACACTTCTATTTCTATCTATCTACACACCTAAAAAGTCTGTAACGTCACCATCTACCCAGTGATACTAAATCTTGGATCCCTGCTCACATGTCTATGTCCAATACGAATTATACTCCACTTGGAGCTCACGCGTCCGCATCCTACTCGGTTCCAATACGAATAGCGGATCATGTTTGTGTCCGATACGAAGTCCCGAGAGCTCACATGTCCGCATTCTATCCGGTTCCGATACGAAGGCCGGATCCACATGTCCATATCTACGTCCACGTGTTCATGTCCGATACGAAGTTGTTAGAGCTCATGCGTCAGTGTTCAATTACTAAAGTTTAGTCTAAAAATTATGCCTTCTGTACGGCGCACAAACAGTTGTAATGTAACTTTGTAAGTCATCTACTTCCTCCGTCTCAGAATAAATATCATTCTCGCTCGTCGAAGAGTCGAGCACTTCTAACTTTGACCAATATTTATAGTACATAATTAGTATCATTACATACATTATTGAACTTATTTACATAATAAACTTATTTGGATATATAAATATTGCTAATTTTTTTTTATAAATCTAGTTAAATTTGAAAAAATAAATGCGACACCTGCTTTGTCACCAAGGGAGTATTTGGTTTTGCTAGGTGTTAATACTTTACTTTAAAAAATGATGATAAAAAAAATCGCTGGCCGTGAACACGCATACGCGATCCCTTCGAGCCTTCCCCGCCGCCGCTGCCGCTGCCGCCGGAGACTGGGACAGGCCGCTAACCGATGGGCCGTACGCCGGCGTACGATATATGCCCGGACCCTGTCTGTGGCTACATCGGCTTCGTCGGCGACTTGTTCTCGTGGGGCTTGGCGGGCGGCTCCGCCGTCCACTTCATCAAGGGCTTCCGCGCCTCGCCGACGCCGTCAACGCTGTCCGGAAGAACGCGCCTCGCGTCGCCGGCAGGTTCGGCGCATACTGCGTCTTCTTCTCCGTCATAGAAAATGCCGCGTCGCTCGCGCTCCGGAGAGACGACCACTTGACCGGCGGCACCGCCGCCGCCGCCACAGGTGGCCTACATGGCATGCTGCGCCGGGGTGGCGACCCCGCCGCTGCGCGTTGCGCTCTTCTCGCTGCAACAGGTTTCTTGGGCCTCGATTTGGCCCTCGATTGGGCCCTAAGGGTGATTGCGAATAGATTGTACCCTCAAAAAAGGCAGATGAATCCGGGCCAGGCAGCGCCTGCTGTCCGGCTGCCCAGCCCCTGGGTAGACGCATCACAACGCCGACCCCCACAGTGGTTAAAGATGTCTCCGTCTGGTACAAGGGAAAAAGGTGCTGCTTCTTTGTTCTGATTTTGCTCCTGATCGACTCCACAAATTGCAATACTCTATTTGGTATATTAGAGTTATTTTCTCTGTTTATTATAAAATGCATTGAACCATTGATCATGGAGCTGTGTTTAGTGTTGTGGGGATCAGTGCTTTCAAAATAGCTCTGCACATGCATCTTCCCTGGGATTCAGCAATGCAAATAAAAGGTGAACAGCACATGCATCTTACTGCTAGTGAACAGCACAGTAGAGAAAGTTCTAAATGAAGTAAACCAATTTGTATGATGGCCTAACCAGGAACCAGGAACAACCAAATTGATTCAATAATGAGCCTCGATCTTTTAGTTCCAGTGACAGAAATTCCCCGGTGTTTAGCTTTCGTGTCTTAATAATTATAAAATCCGGAAGGTCAATAATGCATGATCATAGAAATATTGAATGTTGTATTTGAACTATTAAATTAGAATGTAAAATCATATTAGAATATAGAATAAAGTATTAGAGTAATATGATCATATAAGTCCATTAGGATATTGACATGGATGTCGCTAACAGTATCTACAAAAGTACATTGTTTCAAATAAAAAAGAGTTACATATTATGAAAGTTTGTTTCATAATGAATCTACTAACATCGGTATAATGTTTTCAGCCTATATGATTTTTTAGGTATTGGTGTTAAAAGCTAAAAAGGTTTGACTTAATAAAAAACTTTATGGACCAATATATGTGACCAAGGGTAAATAAAATTTACTGGTAGATCCTTATTAGAATAGATTGGAATGTTATTAAATTCTTAAAACCTATGGTCATTTACTCGTATCTTTGTGCAGAACCAATGGAAATCTTTGAGAATTAAAATAAATATAAGAAATAAGAAAATATAACTTAATGATGCTTGTAAAATAAACAGAATAACCACTTTTGTTGTTTGATGTTTGGTGGGAGGATAATACCTTGTCATTGGATGGTCTGGTTTCTTATCATTAAGCAGGGTTCTGCAGTCAAAGATATATTGATCCTGGAGTTATTATAGTTTTCTTGTTTATGTTGTTTTGGAACCACTAGGTTGTCATCTTGATGTCATGTCTAATTGGTGATGAGAACATATCTGAAAGCGTTTATAGATAACTTAGTGCCGTTGGAATTTAAGAGATAGGTCCATTTGCTTGAATAAAATCAGGTTTCTACTCTGTAGAACAATGTATTTTTGACCGACCAATTTGAGACTTCCCTCTGCTATAGGCTGCAAATAGTTTTTTTTAATGAACGGCAAGAGCTCTGTCTCTCAATTAAGGAAGGAGTAAAAGAGTTTTATGTACAGGTATAGGCTGCAAATAGTGCTCTTTTTTATTTAACCATTTGCTGCACAAGTTGTTTCTTCTGGTGTGAACTGTACATGTGCTATTTGCCATTGATATGCTTGTGTTATGGAGATAACAATATTCATACATTTTATTAGGCAATTTGATTTCTTAGACATTTTAAGGCTTATTGGCCATGGAACCTTTGGTCATTATATTGGCAACACTAAAGATGCATTCTAGATAAGGTTGCTGTCCATATGAACATGGGTCTACTTTTTGTGTTTTATCTTCCATGAAACTATATTTTTACAGTTGCAGTGTTTGAACTCTGAACCCTTAAGATTACTTGTATCTTCTGCAAGATTCCACTGTGTTATAAGATGGAGTTTCCATAATATGTGTAACGTATACTACATGGTATGCTACTGATATTTTGACTTCCTTGCATTGGAGCTATCTGTCTGAGAAAGACAGGTTGAAATATGCAAGCACAAGGAGTGTTTTCTGTCTGAAATCAATGTTGTCTCCTTTCGTGCGCCTATGACGTGCCTGTTTGTTCAGTGTAAGTATGACTGTGATGATGTTAATATTTTCAATGTTTGGACAAGGGATGTTCAAAGTTGCGTGGTTTCTGCATTAGAAGTATATTCCATTGTGTACATTCTGCTCTGTTTTTTGTTGCTGACGGTTATCCTTAAAGCTTATGAATTGCGTTCTTTTCAGAGTTCAGACCGTCATGGGTCACCAAAGATTTTAGCATGGAACAGAGATAGCAATTTCAACTTTCAAGTGAGTCATAGGGATGGTGAGACAAATTCTTTTCTTTTGGGATGAGATGGACAATAGATTGTTGGATACAGTGGTGGACCCAACGCTCGAATGGAGCCTAGACAAAACTCTAGCCGCCGATGAGAAGTTGAGAACACTGAGCAGAATGCAAGGCGACGAATATCCGGGCCCTGGGTCTGGCACTGGTTGGATAATAACAAGCTTTCCGGGATTTTTTGGTTGGGGGCTTGGAGCTAGGATTATTTAATTGGAGGCTGTATAAAAATCTGGTAACTCCTAGAGATGTTGTCTAGGACAATCTTTTTCAATTCTCTGAACTAAACAACCCCTCATTTTATGTGTCAGCGTCATGCTTGAGCCGTCAATTTTCGAAATAATTGACATTAATCATAAGTCATAAGTCAAATTGTCACCTGAGTGGCTGAGTTCTCAACCAAGTTGTAAAGATTTTTTTTTCCTTCCATTGTAACCTACAGGCATATTTCATAGTACTACTATAAAGAAATATAATTAGCCAATGCAGCAGTCTTGAGTCAGTTTTGATGCAAATAAGGGGATTGGAACATTTTAACCAACCAACGCTATGCTCGCTTAGCTTATAAGCCGTACTTTTTCAGTTAATGAATAGTATTTTTCTCTCACAACAAATTAGCTAACAGTACTTTCAGTCATGACTTATTAGCCAAACGAAGCACAAGTCCTCCAAGAAGTCAAAAAGAAGGAAAAGAAAAAGGATGACAACGGACCGGACCGTCCAGTCGAAGCCGGCTGATTTGGACCAACGGATTGATGTTACAGAGCTGTGTTATCAGAGGCCCAGGTTGCCGCCGTCTAAAATCCAAAAGGCACACGGCAATCTGGGCCAGAATTTGGCTCACGAAATCAGTTATTACTGGGCTGGGCGGTGGTCAGTGGTCACGCTAAAACCGTACGGGCCAATTATGGGTTGCTTAATCCGCCAAATCGCGGATGAATGGATGGATTATATAAGTAGCAAAAGCTCGTCCCATTTTCCAAGGGGGCCGATCCACCGCCCTCCCCCTTCTCCCTCTTCCATTCTTCCTCCCCCGTTTCGGGGAGAGACGCCACGAGAAAAGAGGGAGCAGGCAGCGAAAGAAATCGCCTCCACGTCCCCGGTGGCGCCGGATCGCGCGCCAAATTCCTTGTTTTGCCACGGTTTTGGTGCTGCAACTTTTCTAGAATTTTTTGTTTTGGGTTAGGGGGACATTGGCGCGGTCTCCTGGGCTTGGATTATCCGCATTTTTGTTTCCCCCAATTTCTTCGGCTCAATTTCTTAACGGATTTGGGAATCGAAGGTAGGGGGCCCTGCATTGCTGGTTTTGCTCGATTTCGTGGGCGCATTGCAGCTTTGCGTGCCGATCTTTGCTTGGTTGCCCCCCGAAATTACCCCACGTTCGTGATTCTTTCTGAGCTTCCTCGCCTGAGCTCGCGCATTTCTCCGAGCATCTCCAGGTGGTTTCTGTTGCATAAGCTCTCTCTTGGTGCTCCAATTTCACGCAGTCTGCGCGCATGTATTCCCCGAAGGAGGTGGCATTCTGGGGCTGTTGCAAAATTCTGTATTGTTGTCCAATGTCCATCCCGAGAAATTTCTGAGGGGGGAGAAGAATTGCTGTTGGATTCCCAGGGCAGCTGCATTGACATGGTCGCAGTAGTGTAGGAGACAGAAAAGATGAGGCACTATTGGAGCGCATGGCTCCTGGCCCTGTGCCTCGTCTCTGTTCAGCTCCTCGTTGCAGCACAGAACTTGTCACCGCCAGCCTTGACACCGCCCCTTGTCAAAGAAGTAGACGATTTGGTAAGCTTATTTCTGTTTGTTTTATTTATTGGACTTCTATAGGTTCGCATGTTTAAGTTCTACTCGTGACAGTGGCACATTTTTGGTGGACATGTTGGCATAGTGGTGACACGCTTTAGTGATCTGCACAAAGTAGTTCTTTAATTCTGTTACGAATGAGAATTCAGAGCAAGGCATGCATCAGATGCCCTGTTGGTAGGATGCAGAGGGTGTCGAGGCTGCTCAATGGAACCTATGTTTTATGGAGTATATAGATGAGCTTAGGATTAATTTGTCACAGAGATGTGTATGTGCAATTTCCTTATCTAGGACATCCATGGTGCCTGAAAGAGGAACTATCAGATCATCGAAGTTTGATGGGTTTTTTCAAACCTGTCCATGATTTTGCTGATTCTTGTTTTTGCCCTTGGACACCTGCAGCACCTTGATTTTAACTGTCGACAAGATGAAGTTTCAATAAAAAGAACCCTACCATTTATTTTTTTACGCTACTGTGCTAATATTGTGCATCACTGCATTGGTTCAGCAGAATGCTGCTTCAGTATTTTTGTTTCATAATGCTATATATATTTTGTGACTGTTGTTTCTTAGCAAAACTGTGATTATTATAAGTAATTATTGTACTAATGTTTGATTAACTTATAAATGTTCCCTCCATTTCATAATGTAGGGCATATTAGGTTTTCTTTTTTAAAATAAACTTTATAAACTTTGACCATCAATTAGTAAAAATACATGTATGTTTAGTGCACGAAAGATACATCCTTAGATTCATATTTCACATGGTTTTGTAGCAATTGAGAATGATTCCAAGATAAATTAATGGTGAAAGCATTCCTTGAAAGACTTTCCCAAATCCTAATACGCCTTGTAAAATGAAAATGGACGGAATAGTTTACAATGGGGCAAACTGTCCACCTGAAATTTAAAGGTATAAATATTGTTAGTTTCTAAAGGGTCGTGTTTTATGGTAATTCGTGCTACTTCTGTCACTCTGTGGACTGCTTGCCTGTTATATCAATAGATCTAGTACTGCTTAGTTTGCATATACTGACATAGTGACATTTTACTTTACATACAGGTGGAGCATATATGGACCTCATGCGGGCTAGACAGGGGATCTCTTGAAGACGTTAGAAAACATTTCAATTACAACCACGTATTTGACATTCTCCGTACGCTCTCTGGAAAAGATACTAAGGACAGCTCTCCTGAAACTGAAGATGTCAGCAAAGCACTGTCTCCAGAAATTAAAAACACTTTGCTGAACTGCTTAAGCAAGCATCCACTTGTCGTTGCTGCTCAGGAGAGTGCAAAAAACTTGCCTATTGATTATATCAAAATGCTTTTTGCCATGTTAAGAAGAGATGTGGCTCAAGGATCTGCAGGTGCAGCGGCAACTCCTGCACCACCGGCAGCTGTGAAATCAAATCCATCACATTCTTTAGGGGAACCTTCCTCAACAAAACCTGACAAAAATCCAGATCCTCCGTCAGAAACAACACCCAAAGAAAAGATGGTGCCCCAAACTGAAAAAATAGTGGCCAAAAAGGAAGATAACAGTGGCATGCCAGCCATTGCTGTCATTGGTTTGGCTGTGTCTGCTATAGCGTTGTTAGTTCTTCTCTGCTTATGCTGCTGTGTTTTCCGTGCAAACCAGGCCTCTTCATCTGATGTAAGGGATAATAAACCGCCTCTGATTCTGAACCTGAGTAATTTGTCTGGTATGAAATACACCCACCCACCTTTCTCCAGTGTACTGTTTGCAATTATGATGCTCATTTCGTTTCATTAGGACAATCCTTTGGCCAACAACAAAATTGATGCTGTTAGTTTTGTACTAAATATTTACGGTTATAATTTTGTATCACATAATTGAAATATTGATGGTGTAACTGTTGGTCAAAGCCTTGTAAAAAATGCAGGGAGTAATGCGCCATTGTCTTCTAGTATTGATTTACATGCTTTATTTTGTAGCTGCTTCTCTTAAGTTTTCCCAAGGAAACCCAATTGATATCAACAAGCTGGGAGCACTGCCGCTGAAGTCAGAGGCTGGCCAAAATGGCAATGTCAAACTAAGCTCATCTGAAATCTCTAAAACTGAGGTTACCCCAGCAGTCTACAACAGTTTGGCTGAACCAATGGCTGCTTCTACTGGTTCTGTCCCAGGATCAAGACCAACAGCTCCACCAGCTATGCCACCTCCAGCCCCTGCACCTCCGAAGGCTCCTCCCTCATCAACTCCACAAGCCCCTGCACCTCAGAAGGCTCCTCCCTCGTCAACTCCTCAAGCACCTGCACCTCTGAAGGCTCCTCTCTCATCAACTCCTCAAGCACCTGCACCACATTCAAAACCTACTCCAGTTCTTCACCCAGAACCCTCATCACCATCTGCTCCAAAAGCTGCACCTCCACCAAAAGACGCACCACAGCCAAAAGCTGCACCTCCACCGCCACCAAAATCTACCGGTCCACCACCACCAGCAATGCCTGGTTCATCGAAAACACGTCCACCGCCGCTTATGAAGAAATCAGGCAATAAGGTGGATGATGGCGCAAATTCTCATGAAGCTAAAACAAAGCTAAAGCCCTTCTTTTGGGATAAAGTAACAGCAAATGCTAATCAGTCTATGGTGTGGGATCACCTCAAGTCTGGATCGTTCCAGTAAGTTTATCGATGCCTTTACAGTTATTTACCTCAGCTAGCTCAATGTTGCAAGATCACACCAGTTACCTATAATGGTCCGCAGGTTTAATGAGGGTAAGATGGAAAGCCTTTTTGGTTATAACTCTGTGGACAAAACAGGCGGTGATGGCAAGAAAGATTTATTATCTAAGGATGTTCCTCAATTTGTGAGGATACTTGACCCTAAGAAGGCACAGAACCTTGCGATATCATTAAGGGCTCTGAGTGTTTCACCAGAGGAAGTATGTAGTGCAGTTAAGGAAGGTGAAATCGGTTTTCTGCCATTACTGATCATTTACATGCATAGGTCTCTTAATGCATATAGTCTTGTAACTGCATATTTATTCTACAGTTTTTTTTTTAAGTAATAGTATTCACTTATGCTGCAATGATGTTTAATTTCTCCATCTTCTGGTTTAGAACTTCTCTTGTAATATTGGATATAGTGACGTTGCTACATGACTATATTAATTTGACCTCACCTCCATAACCTAAATATAAATATTAGAGACTAATCTCTTTTTTCTGAGCTAAGGTGTTAACGCATTTTCCAAATATCGAACATCGATCTTTTCATATGCAACCAAAATGGTTCCTCTGAGATATACTGTTTCCCGTCACTGTATTTTATTTCATCCACTGCCCTTGCTAATTTGTAGGAAATGAACTTCCACCAGACTTGATAGACACCCTACTAAAGTGGACCCCAAGCAATGATGAGGAGCTTAGGCTTCGACTGTACACTGGGGAACTGTCTCAGCTTGGTCCTGCAGAGCAATTCCTAAAAGCAATTATTGATATTCCATATATTTTCCAACGCCTGGATGCATTACTTTTCATGTCGAATCTACCAGAGGAAGCTTCAAATGTGAAACATTCTTTTGCTACTTTAGAGGTAATAACACATTCATTGTAACCTCTCAATTTATACATTATATATGACACTGATGTATTAATTTTATTTTTGTTTTCTTAGACTGATTCTTTTGCTCACTATTTGTGCACACCTGTAGGAGTGGATATTGATTTTTTTCTTGTAGCTAATATGTAGTTGAGACAACTTGCATAAGCTCCTTCCAAACTCTACTCTTTGTATTGATCAATGTTCTTATCGGTGCTTTCTTGGCATTTCCTGATCAGGTGGCTTGCCAAGAGCTTAAAAACAGCCTGACTTTTCTTGAAGCTGCTTGAAGCGGTCCTTAAAACAGGAAACCGGATGAATGTCGGCACATTCCGTGGAGGAGCTCAGGCTTTTAAACTTGACACGCTCCTTAAGCTATCTGATGTCAAAGGAACTGATGGGAAGACAACACTTTTGCATTTTGTAGTTCAAGAAATCATTCGTTCTGAAGGTATCTGTGCTACAAGGGCTGCAAAAAAGCAGGATTGCAGTGTATCCAGTGTGGATGCCAATGATACTGACGGTAATAATACGCAAACTGAAGATGATTACAAACAACTTGGGCTGAAAGTTGTATCCAGTTTAGGTGATGAGCTACAAAATGTCAGGAAGGCAGCAATCCTGGATGCAGATCAATTGACAATGTCAGTAGCAAGCCTTGGCCACAAGCTTGTGAAAACCAAAGAATTCCTTAACACGAGCATGAAAAGTCTGGATGAAGACAGTGGGTTTCACCACAAGCTGAAGCATTTCGCAGAGCAGTCTCAGACGGATGTTGCTTTGTTGCTAGAGGAAGAGAAGAAAATACGGTCCTTGGTCCGGGGCACTGTTGATTATTTCCATGGGAGTACAGGGAAGGACGAGGGCCTGCGGTTATTTGTGGTAGTTCGAGATTTCCTTGCAATGCTGGGCAAGGTTTGCAAAGAGGTGAAAGAAGCATCAAAAGTGGCTCCAAAGAAAACAAAGACCCCTCAGCCATCCCAAGCATCTTTCAATGATCCCAGGCGCAACCTATTCCCAGCAATTCAAGACCAAAGGGCAGATAGTTCAAGCTCAAGCTCTGATGAAGACGATTTGCTGTATATCAAATCAAGGAACCCGTTGTCTTCCCCTTCAAAGTGCACTGAATTGACCCTTCCAAACAATAGTGCACTGATACAAAATAAATGAAAATTCATGGGGGTATGATAAATCAACGCTATTTTGGCCATTCACTGATCGACAATCAAATTGGGAAACCTGGGCACCTGGCTTGACTTTACACTGTTGTGTTGGTAATAGCAAATCATCAGACCTGATCTGGCATTCTTGGCCAAGGGGGTTGTTTGGCACTCTATCCCATCGAGCAAGGATGCTCATGATCGAGTCAGCATCTATCTGAAAGGTGACTGGAGGAAAATGGGCAATTCAAAGGAAATGGAAGAAAACTGACTCTAGTTTAGAGCCGGTGTAAATGCAAGAGGTAGTCTGACAAATACTGTTCTTCTGTTCACTGTACACATGTACCATTGTACCAAACACAGAGAAATGCAGCGCAGACTTGTGAATCCGATGGCTTTGTTTGTGATTTCACAATACCCTTGCAAACAGACCAACACAAAGTGTCACAAGAAATTTGTTCCATCATTTATGCTGTTTCTGCAGCTGAATGGTTCTCGGCTAACTCAAGCCAAGAACTGTGATAATCCTCTGATTAGCCTTGTTCTCAGCGGAAATACGGAACTTGAGAGCCTTCTCTTGGTGAAAAACTTCAGAGTAGTTTGTTGTTGGCTTTATCCATCCAGGAGACTAGAGGACTGGAAATATGCCCTTGTTAGCTCAGGCCATAATCATAACCAAGCGTTCTTCGCAAATTGGATGTCAATTATCAATGTCTCCGGGCATAGCACTGTTTCAAATTCTCGGGGTAATCTCGAGCAAAAATTCAGAACTGCCCGCATAAAACTTCACTGCGCATCATGAAACTTGCACTAGATCCACTGACACTTAGAACTAAAAGAACACAAGCAACAATCTAACAGCTTCCTTTAAGATCACGGTCCACATTTTTCATGTCAAAGCACTACTCAGATTATGAACTCTTTGCTGCAGTCCTGAAATTCACGTCTGAGATTGGCAATGACTGAATGATCGCACATTCACATGCAGAATCCCCACTAGTTGAGACATCAAATCCGCATAGCAGGACACCATATTCTTCCAATGATCCAATCCAATCTCAGAAATAAATTTCAAAACTGCACAGCACAACATTTCAGAATTTTCAACTGGACTGATCCAGACTTTGAATCAATCTAAACACGAAATGTAAATTGGAATACCAGGTTTGATCAACCAGTCATCCAAAGGATGCACCGTTTATAGCAACAAATACAGAACTAATCCTTAGCAACCACAAGAGTAACCTAGTTTAGCAGTGGTACACAGGAACACACATCCCCAACTACAACGCAACACCTAAAGCGAGTCTAGAACGTACTACTTCACAAGCACAAGTTGATACGGCAGCACCCATAAGAGGTGCCACCACCGGAAGAAAGGTGTGGTTAGGGATCTAGTCCTCATCACCAGCCGCGGCCTTGGCGCTGCCACCACCGGACTTCTTGGGGAGCAGCAGGTTATGGATGTTGGGCATGACACCACCGCTAGCGATGGTCACGGTACCCAGCAGGCGGGAGAGCTCCTCGTCGTTGCGGACGGCGAGCTGTATGTGGCGCGGCACGATGCGGGTCTTCTTGTTGTCACGAGCCGCATTCCCGGCAAGCTCGAGAACCTGCACGAACAGGGAGCGAATCCGAACGATCAGTCAAAATCCTCAATGGTTCGAGCAAATCAACCACCGAAATTTAAATCATCAGCCAAAATCCCCTAGTTATTCTACTTCAATCCAGGTAATTTTGGCAATTAACCACCAATTATATAGAAGTAAAAGAAACCCCAGGACCCAAATTTTCCAGTCCTCAAAACCAAATCGAAGACTATAGCCGCAAAATTGAAGTCTTGTTACCTCAGCAGCGAGATACTCGAGCACGGCAGCGAGGTAGACGGGGGCGCCAGCGCCAACCCTCTCGGCATACTTGCCGGCCTTGAGGAACCTGGCGATCCTTCCCACGGGGAACTGGAGCCCGGCCTTGGAGCTCCTGGACATGGCCTTCTTAGCGGCGCCCGAGCCGATCGCCTTACCTCTCCCGGCCATGGCTACCCTCGTTAGTGGATCGACGAGGAAGCAGCAGAGGGAATCCGCAGCGAGATGCGAAGCGAAGGCTTGGGAAGACGGGAGAAAGCTAAAGCGCGGAGCGAGCGGTGGTGGTGGGAGGACGGACACAGGACGGCGTTCGTAAGAACGGGAAGCGGTGGGTGGTTGTATTATATAGATGCGGGCAGCCAATGGGGCGGGAGGGCGCGGATCAGTGACGTGGCTAGGTGGGGGTTGCCGTGGGGGATCGATCGTGACCGTCCGATGGGAGTTGGACAAAGAGTGCCGTCCGGTGAAGGGTTGGTTTTGGTTTTGCCGCCACAGCGTTTCGTCCGGATCGTGGGCCCCACGGGAACCACCGGGTCTTGGGCCTCGTATTTTTTTTTTCTTATTACTCGTCAAATTCGGCCCGCTTGGTCCCAGTTGCATAAGCACAAGTTTTCGGCCTTGGCATCGGGCATGGGTAGGTGTGGTATTTGTTTTTTCAGGTTTGCAAAAGATTGAAAAACAGTAATCGCAAAAGATTGAAAAACAAATTACAAGTTCTACGGTAACAATTGGCACATTAGGCTAGTCCAACTCAGTCCACTCATACCAGTTACCTTAGGGTCTGATTGGTTGCTCGCACAACACTTGCATTGCATTACGAGTTATACAGCATTGGCTATGCCTGCACAAGCGAATGCAATTTGCTCTTGTTTGGTTGGGTTGAATTACCCCGTTGCATTATTTGTGTCTTTATTTGGTTGGATGCATAATGATATGCTGCATCTAATAATTTACGTTTGGTTGCACTGCACATCTAAAATAGGCTTGGCAATTCATCGAACACGTCCCGGCTGCTTGAGGAGACGAGCAGGACATCCTACGCTTATAGTTGTCCAAACGGGCCAGGCCCGCTGGCGACACACACGAGCCGGTCTTGAAAAAAAGCTACCGGCCCGGTGCGGCCTGGCGAGAACCCGCGTGCGTGCTTGGGCCCACCACATCTGTCAGAGTCTTGCGGCGCGCACTGCAAGACACGAAAATTGGGTAAACACGATGCGCGCCCGATAATTCCTAGCCATTGGATGATTCAGGGATTTCAGTAGCCATCGGATGAGAGTATATATGTTGACCAAAACCCTAACTCCCAATTCCCAAATCACTTCAGTAGCCTCCTCCCCTGTGGGTAGTCATCTCCGTCCTCCCCATGCTCGACTCCTCCTCCTGCCCCGGCGGTCCCCATGGCGGCTCCTCCTCCTCCTCCTGTACTCCCCATGGCGGCTCCTCCTTCTCCTCCCGTACTCCCCATGGCGGCTCGACGGCGTGGTGACCTCGTCGGCATGGGCGCTGAACTCCCTTCTCCAAGACTCCCATGGCGCTCGACTGGGGGCACATCCGTCGGGGATCTGCGCATGCGGCGACGCAAAGAACGACGAGCCTAGGTGCGGTAACTAGCAGTGACGGAGGCGGCGGCGGCGTCCATGGCGTCTTCTTGCTTGCTCCGGCGGTGCGACAGCGACGCTCCACGACACGCCATTGGCTTTGTTCGACGGCAAGGTTGGCGGTGGTGCTCGAGCCGGCACGGTGGTCGCTGCCGTTTAGGCTAAGACGGCGGCACTATCGAGCACGCAGACGCGGCTATCTTTGCCGTGTCGCGATAGTGCCATGCTCGCCAGCGCTGCGTGCGATGCCGATCTTGCCGTGCCCATGCGGCCCGGTTGGCCATGTATACCTACGCTATGAAACGAAACTGCAACCGAACTACTAGTATGTATGGAGCAGTCGTTGGGGTTGGTAGTGGCCGGGTAGTACTCGCAATAGTGCATGGTGGTGGGAGAGGCGTACGGCGGTGGCGGTTGGTAGCTCAGAGCTGTACATTTCGAACGATAGACTTGCTCCCTCTTTCGTTTCCGTACACGGTGGCGTCGTGCGAGAGAGGCCCGCCGGAGCCGCCGGGCGCCGGCGCAGGTGGTCCGCGACTTCGACGACGTCGGCGTGGCCCTCCTTCTAGCGCAGCGGGTGGTGAGGTGGTTGCGATCAAAGCCATCATCGGACCTAGGGCTGCGCCGCCACACGCCCCGCGAGGGGAGGACATGTCGTGAATCGGATCTCGCCGATCACGGTGATTTGTGAGGGCCAAGCCGCCGCCGCCCAGCGAGGCTAGCGTACCACCACTCGGGCGCACCATCACCACCGCCGAGAGGCCACCAAAGCAAAGAACAAGAACTCGTGAGGCCGTGCGCCCCACGCGAACGCGAAACCACGAGATGTTGCATGGCGGATGCAACGAGACTACTGATGCGGAGCGGTTGCAAATGCAGCTCGCACAGTGGATACGGAAAATGGGGCGACAATGGATGCGATCGAAGATGCTTCGAGGAGAGTGCTAGTCACGCATAGGATCGTGTCTCTCAACGGTGGATTTAAAGAGCGACCCAAACGCAAAATGTGCTACATATAGTGATTTGTGTCCCGGAAATACTCTCAACGGAGGACGCAAACCAACCAAATCATTTTGCGTACCACGTGAATCGGTAGGCAAAAACGCGTCCTCATTCTCCACGACGCAAAATCAGAAGCGAACGACGACGGCGGCGCGGCGCCGCCCCTGGAAGCTCCTGCTGGGGCCATCTGTGCGACGCCGAGGCGGTGATCGGATCGGGAGAGGAGCCACCCAAAGCCGCTTTCGCGCCTCCCCGCCAGGTAAACCGAGCACCCAAAACCGTGCCACCAAAAACGTCGACGCAAAACCGCCGCCGCCACTCACCTAGAGCGTCGCCGCCGCAATGCGCGTCGTCCCCACGAAGACCGGGTATGCCGCCTCCGCCATGCGCGCGCCGCTTTCGCCAGATCATGAGGCGCACCTCCCTGGAGCCCAGTGCACGTTTGCTTCGCCGCCTGAGCCACCGCTGCTCCCGGCGACCATGGCCTTGAGCTCCGCCCTCAAGCTCGCTCGGCGCCGGTGGCGAGGCTGCTTGCTTCCCCATCC